TATATCATAATTTTACTAAGTTTCGGTAATGGCTTTTTTACGTCAAAAATAACTTACTATATGATATTTATCCCCCTTTTCCCATTGTACAATTAAGTATTTTCCTTCAACCAAACTGCACGCAAATGTGATGTGCATATGCGGTTGGGTTTCTGTATTTACCCTACAGTGGGCCAAATTTAGATTCATGGCCTGATTGGAAAGAAGACATCCTGTTTGTACCTTGCAAATGCACATGAATATCAGTGGCCAAGAACTGTCTGCCTAGTGAGAAAGTCTTCGTCTGAATAGTGCAGGATAGTGGCATATGGGGGCAACAGTGTTGATTCCTTTTGTGAATATTCAAATATTTTCCTACAAACTCGTATTAATATTCTTTAAAAAATATGTCTTTGGTAATTATGCTCACTCTCTAAACTCCAATTGTAAATGGTTTATAAATCCTTGCATGCTCGGCATTATGTAGTAATTTTAATATACATAAATAATTGCTGCTTGCTTATTAAGAAATGCTTCTTAAAAACTTTTGTTCGCTTTAATATAGATTGTATATATGTATATGCAGCAGATTTGCGTGCTTTGCCTTAAATGCTTTTATAAGAAATTTTTTAATTTATTTTTAATTTTATAATTTAACTTATCCTACAAAACTACAGTCTAAAAATTAACTGATAAAAAATTTATAATTTCAAGGCTGTTGTGTGCAATGATTTTTTTATTACCCCCGCGCTACTACTAAAGCTTTGTACACTAGAAATTATGCTACAAGATAAAATTGTGAACAAAAACTGCTTTACTCTATCCAACCCCCAAAAAGGCTTTTTTTAGTTTGTTGTATATTTTTATTTTGCCTGTCATCGCTATTGAAATTTCTTTTGTTATTTTATCCAAACCGGAGATCATTTCCCAAAATTTGTTAAAAAATTTATTTCTATTACGATTTCGTTGTGCAATTGAACGCTTTTGTAGCCACGCAAAGCTGCTCGTACGTAACTAAATGCTTCAACTTTTATTTATCTGGTCAAATAGTAACTAAATAATGTTTTTTACGCGTAAATACATATAGATTTTCTTTGCAATCAGTGTATGCGCTGCACTGGTATTTTGGCAATGGAAATAATACATATATATGCTGTATGCAGTGATTGGGAGGCGAAAAAGCTGAGGCTATATCCTCACTGGCGAATCAAAAAAAAAAAATAAAATTCCCGACTTTGTCAAACAGAACTCAGCCAATTATTGGTTTGTTATTTGAAGCATTTATTTGTACACATTTAAGCTGAATATTTATGTATTTTTTATTTGCAGCGTTACGATGGTGATCAATTTAAAATTTTATTTAGTTTCCGTTTTCAATCCCACCATAAATCGCTTATTTAAAAATTACAAAAAATATATATTTATTCATACATATATTATTTTTGCATGTGTATAAAGAAAATCCCGCTTATCCGTCCAATTCTGTTACACATTCAAAAGCCTGGGTTAGGTGAATTGGTAGGCACTTACATTATGTAACTGATGTTAAGCAATGCGAACAACGGTACATATTAATTAAATGTAAGTTATACAATATTAGGGGTGAAAATCGATGAATTTCATCCTTATAGTTATTAGCCTTGCTTACGTACTGTAAATCATAAAGCATTCATTTAAAAAACCATGATTTTTTTTCTATGGACAAGATTTCGATATGATGGCTATTTACCGTTGTTCAACTAAAAAATATATACACTTCCGGCAAAAAGTGTTGGCACAGCAAATTTTTCACAATATATGCAAACATTTTTTTCTAATATTTTTCCGTACAATTTTTATAAAAATATGGTTAATTCTATTACAAAAAACATTTAAATATAATTCCTAAACTTTGTGCAAAACTCAAGAAAAGTCAGCTAATTTCCATGCAAATTTTCAACTTTTTAATCACATTTTTTAGAATTTTTTCGAGTATGCAGAATGTAAGTGTTAGGAATTATCATTAATTTTGGGCAATTTTTTCACGCAGTCTCTTCCATACAAAAATATTTGTTCGAAAATACTTTATATGGGAAAAATGCAAAACGCCTTCAACAAAAAAATTCTCAATAATCAATGCGATTTTTTTACTAATGGGCTGCAGAACTGCATACACAAAAAAAATTTAAAAGTCTGATTGATTGAAAGTTGAAAATTTGCATGAAAATTTAGTTAATTTTCGGGAGTTTTGCACAGAGTTTAGGAATTATATTTTTATGTTTTTTATTGTAGAATGAGCCTCATTTTTATAAAAAAAAATGGCGTAAAAATATTAGAAAATAAAATGTATGCATATATTGTGAACTAATACTTTTTGCCGGCAGTGTAAACGAAATACGGCAAATGAAAGCTAACAAAATTCTCCATAAACCATGTATAGTACATCCCTTTTGATGAAAAAGTTTGAGGGACTGTAAACAACAGATCTTTTTCCAACAGTTAAACTTAGCCAGATATTTTTAAGTACAAAATAAAAGTATCTTCCTAATTATAAACAAACCGCTTATCCAAATGAAATAAGTTTGGTATCAAATGAAAGATGGCTACAACAGCTTTAAAAAAAATTGAAATGCTTAAACGTAGAAAGCCAGCGGAAAGCCAGCTATTGAAAAATATTTCAATAAAAAATTTTATCTAATTACCATAGAACAAACCTTGTGTCGGGTATTGTATTGAATTTAAAAAAAATAAATAAATACTGTTGAAAGAAATAACTGTTATTCGAGGCCTCCGAAAATTAAAAAAAATCAAACTTTAACAGGGAAAAGTTAAAAAGTAACAAACTCTGCTTAAATTTTTTTGTAATGGCTTTCATTTCCCATAAATAACTCGAATTTGCGATCCAGTGCTATTATCGCACAAAGCATGTTCCAAATCTTGATGTAAATACATTGTTTTGCTCGCTCTGCTCCAACGGTCGCAATGGCCGAGTGGGCAAAGCCATCCGAGAGATCGAAGTTCAAATCCTTCGGCAGCGGATTTTTTTTCTTTTCTAATAAAAAAAAGGAAACAAATTTTATGAAATGTTCCTTTAATTTTCGGATTTAATTGTTTTAAGAAGAAAAAAATTTATATTTTTATTTAATTTAAGTTTTTGAAACTCATTTTAGGCTTTTTTCTATTTTTTCTTTTCTAATTAATTTTCTTTTAACTTTAATAACTTATTAAAAAACAAAGAAAAAATATTTTAAAATTACTTTAATATTTACTGTCATTTTATTTATCTTTGTTTTACTTTTATTTTGTAGTTTTTATTATTTTAACAAGCAAAAAAAATTTTTGTATAAATAATAAATAATCTTTTTTTAATTTACGGTTCCTTTAATTTTAAGTATTATTTTAAAAATAAAAATAATTGTTAACTTATTTTAGTTATTGTCTTTTTTTAATTTTTTATTTTTTTTGCTAATTCTATTCTTAAAATTATTATGTAAAAAATAAAAATGATTTTTAAAAATTATTTAATTTTTAGTGTTTTTTTTTCTACTTAAAGTTAATTTATTTGTGTCTTTTGGTTTTGGGTTTTTTTCTTTTAAAAAGAAAAATAAGTCCCCCTCGGTAGCAGATCTTTCGATTAGTGTCTTAAAAGACAGAATAAATTGTTCAAGAAAGTTGCAAGAAATAACTGGTAGTTTTAAAGACAGTTGCCAGAATATCCCTGTTACCCTTATTCTTCTAGTACTTAAGATATTTAAATTATTTTATTGAAAATTCTGGCAAACGGCGAGAACTGGATATCGTTTTAATTATTTTACAGCGGTTGTACACTTATGACTTTATTTATAACCAAGTAATTTTTAGCAAAAAAACCAATTTAAAAAAAGTATACATATATCTATATATATTTCATGATCCAATGATCGGATCTAAGCCGATTAGTATGGGACCACCGCTGAGACCCAAAGTTATGCGGTAGCATACATAAAAAAAAGAAAAAAAAATATTCCGACGAACTGAAAACCTCCTCCTTTTTTGGAAGTCGGTTAAAGATAAAATACGTTTAGAAACTTTATAAATTAACATTTTCATTCAAAGTTTCTATTTACAAAGCAATTAAAAATTTAAGAATATAAACAAAATAGCTTTAACTTAAGTTAGTACTGGTAAATACGAAATAAATGTGCCAAATTTATAGAATGATGTCATATCATATTATTGCCTTTTGCCATATGAAAATTCGTGGAAATTAAAAAAAATGATATCTAAAAAAATCTTTGCACACACAGTTTAGTAAACAATAATCTGAATCTAGTTATTTATACACGCATTAAAAACCATTTTGGCGGAAAAAATAATAATTGAAATGAAATATAACTTAAAATTATGTTTTTCTTGAATTCAGTTGCATAAATAATTCTAATTAATATTTAAGTTTTACTTGAGTAATATTTTTGTTTTGTTTTTAACTATACTATTGTTCATACTTTATTTCAGAAATTTATTTTGATACCAATAAAATTAAGCATTGCTGAAAACTAAGTAGATTTTTTGTTTGCATTTACTCCTAAAGTAACTGTATTTAAAGAAAAATTTTACAACTACATATCTTCAAACCGATTTTCTCGAACTTTCTTCTATATATAAATTTGTTATCCTTGCTACTACCACTTCTAAATTTTCTTGCTGTCTCTCAATCACCTAAATTTTTTGTTATCAGAATAATTTAAATGCTGATGAAAGTTAAGTCTTTGTTTTATAAAAAAAAAATTGTTTATCCAACATTTTTATTTGATTTAGTTGAATTTTACTTACATACTTATAACTCTTTATACTGTGTATGACAATAGCCGTTTGCTATCGTTTCGTTCATTGCAATTCTGATTTATTGCATTATCGATTCGATTTCATACATTTCATTTAATTGCCAACAAATTTTTTTCTGCATTGTTGTCTCTCGTTCGTAACGTATTTATGTGCATACGTTTGCTGCATTGATGTCGCACCACCACACACTTTTTGGCATTGGATATTGTGCACTGCAGTGCCGCCACGCTGGATTGTTGAGCCGACCGATGCAAATGTGGAACGCAACCGCCATATAATGCTGCATTGTCAGGCGCAGGGTGTGCCAACGCCCAGTATTGTTTGGAAGAAGGCTACAGGTAAGTGAGAATGGGATTTAAACAGAGTACAGCGGAAGTATTGGCAATAGAAAGAGGAACAATAAAAAGTGTTTTTTACGCAATACAAATTTTTATTTTTCTGAAGTTATTTGTTTATAGGTTCTTATATACATAGAACTTCGCACGATAATTGTTTGCACATGAGTATATCCTTCTAAAGTATTTCGCATGTCGATGCGGAGAAAAACGGGATGCAAACCTGCTGCTATTTAATACGTTTTTCTGTAATAATATTCACAGCTAAGCCCTGCATATTTTAAGTAAATTTAAAATCGATTATTTTAGTTTATGTAAGGTTTTCCAAGACAACATTTATATTTCTTCCGTGAAATCAGGAGATGATCACTCTCTCTGGAACAACCAGTATCTTGTTGACTCACCTCATATAAACTTACCTTGAAATTATCTTTCACGTCTGGAGCACTCACATCCATTTGGACCATGTGAACAAGCCAGAGGAGACGATGGTTTTTGAGGCACTGTTCCATGCCTATATCACTGTAGATTTCAGCTCATCATTTCATCGTTTGTGATATTCGCTGTCGCCAAGGCGGAAGACCCCGCAATTTTTGCAAAAACCCGTTCTCTCATATATTCTATAGACCTTCTCAGCGGATATTGTTATCACCCACGCTTCTTCGCAGAATCAACTCGGACATTGTTGAGACCGATCGATATCATCGGCATACGCCATAAATTGTATGCTTTTTTCAAATTCTGTCTGCAGGATTCAGTTTTACAGCTATAGAAGTCATTTGATGGAGAGTCGTCTAGTCTGAAACCTCGTTTGTTATCGACCTACTAAGGGGGGTCGTTCCCAATTCCGACGGAGCTGGTGGCGTTGGTTAACGTCATTTCACACAGCTTTTATTTGTTTCGTACCCACATGAAATTCAGATATTTCGCCATAAAGGCAACGTTTCACCCATCGCTTCTTTTAAAACAGTGCCGGCCAGACGAATACTAAAACATCTACATAAGTATGTGTGTCAAGCGCGTGAGAAGCGAAAGCATACCCAGCCAGCAAAAAATCCGAAAATCGATCCGAAAAAGGAAACAAAATTATTTATTTTAGAAAAAAATTCCGTCATCCCTTGTGAAGCTTGGTTTGCAGATAAACCGGTTTCGGCGTTGTGCCATCTTCAGTGTCATTTTTCGTTCTTAGCTTGAACAAATGAAATACAATTATTGCTTTCAAATAAAATCATATTTTTCTAACTTTTCGAACTTCTCCAGATACGTAAACAAATGAAAATTGTAGTCGTTTTCTATTCGTTTCCGGATATGGAAAATTGAACAAGACTGCACTGTCGGAAAAACTTACGCTTCTCTGCTGGCTGGGTAACTTCGTGCATACACATCGTTAGCGTTGGTGAGAAAACACGAAGGCGAAACTGCACAATGTGCTCGCTTTGGCCGGTATTGTTTTAAAAGATTTTGCGTATGGAAAATGCCTGGTCTATGTAAGATTTACCAAGTTTAAGACCACACGAAAAAGGTCTAATCAGTTCATTGATGATCAGTTTTAGCCTTTCACACAATTCGCTTGATAAGATCTTATAGCCGTTGTTTAGGGTCACCTTTCTTATGAATTAGGCAGAGAAAACGTAAACTCCAGTCGTGAGGAGTACGTTCATCTGACTATACTCTGCATTAATTTTGATATGTGTATCGTTATTATCGGCTCCCTGCTGCCTACTTGATTAGCTCAGCTGGCAGACGGTCAGCTCCAGCAGCTTTGTTTTTATTCTCCCGATATATCGACTCCTTTGTCCCGGACTGGACTGATCTCCCATACTATTGGCGCCCATAATTTTGCAGAAATGTTCTCACCAAAATTTAAGTAGGAGCTGGAAATCTGTCATTAGCTAGGTCGCCGTGTTTGTTTAAAAAAAAAAAAAATAGTCCCGGTCTTACAAGCTTCCGCATGCCGGATAGTTTTCTGCAACAATTTTTCTCCTTATGCCTGGAAATTTACGCTTTTCGCACTCACTCTTTTTGGTATCTTTTCTTCTTTACCAAAAAATTTATCGCTTCTTCTTTCATCTTTTAGTATCGACTCAAATAAATAGCTCGTGTTGCACCCGATCACAGCGTGACCATGTAGGAGGCACTTTACTTTTTGCAGCTGCGTGACACTTCTCATCGTAAAAGTCGATCTTTTGAGCTAAAATCCAATACTGTTCTCGCCGGCGCACAGTGGCCAATTTTTTGAAAAAGCTGGCCAAAAGTCGAAGCGTGGTACAATTGTAATCAAACCTTGTGTATTCGTCTTTATTTTGGTTGCTGGTTTTAAATTTCACCACATAATTTCGAAATTCAAAATGGCGGATCCATAATGGCTCCTGTGTACGCTTAAAATAATCAGATTTTTAGCAAAACTAAGGTAGTTTAGTAAAAAAGGTCATGTTTTTTGCAATAACGTCGCCCTTTGGCAGGCATTGGAAAACCCCCGAGTGTATTCAGTCACGAAGGACAGCTTCTCATAAAAATAAAATCCCCGTTCGGATTCGGCGTAAAACTGTTGGTCCCTCCCCTTTGTGCGCCAACATCAAGGCGCATGCCACAAATCGGAAAAGAAGCTCGGACAAACACTAACGAGGTCTTAATGTTTGTTACTAAAAATCTCGATGTTCAAATTTACACGGGAACTACCGGATTTTGAATGAATCAATAAACAAGACATACATATTTGTTGGTACAGGAATATATTTTTAAGATAACAATTTTATACACCGTCAGACTCGCAGTCATCTGAAGTACCCAAGGTCGTATCTATATTTACTGATGGAATCCACATTTACAACAGTTGATATTTTTTAATATCTTTATTCCTTGACTCTCCGGTTTCTTCGGAAATTTACCCAATTGGCAGGGGTGCCCATTCAATAATGAGAGGCCCATGGATGAGCACTCTAATATAGTAGTACTTTCTGACATCATTTAATTTCTAAAAACATCCAATCTTTAAAACATCAAAAACTTGACAGAAATATTTTTTTTTACATAATTTAAATCTTTTAAACATAAAAAAATTAAGAATCGCGTATAAAAACTGATGTCCAAACTACAGTGGCGGCTTGTGACAGGTGGTTTTAACCAAGGTGGATGGGAAAAACTTCAATATATATGAAAAAGGAAATTAGAGCGCCCATCTCGACCACTCTCGTAACTATTTTCCTAATCCATCATAATGAGTAAAAAAAAATCCAGCCGTGAATATCTATGTCTTACGTCACTTTTTAGATGGAGTGACAATGAAAAAACATGTTTTACATACTCTAGATTACAATGTCCATGAGCGGATGCTTGAAAACTGTTATTTTTTAAAAGATAATACCACGATTTTAACAACGACGAAAACTCTAATTTACGAAAAGTTTAGAGCGAATTGCTAGCAACAGTCACTTCGATCTCCTGTAACACTTAATGCCTTAAGAGAATCGACTTGTTGCCTCATAACGATACGCAGTAGAGCCCTTCTAACAATATAAGATGGTTATGCATACGAATGCACCAATTTTTTTTTGGACTTTTGGCCAGGGTTTTCCAAAAATTGGCCACTGTGCGGCGGTACGTACAGAAAAAGAAATGTGACTCCATTGCTTGCGAGTGTCCGTTTATTGAAAGTGCTCTTTCGCGTGATGATGATGGTGGTATCACACTTTTCAACCTTGGGATTGCGTTGTTAGACATGCGTTTTTAGCTGCACAGAAGAATGTGCGTATCTGCCGTGCCAGGGCTAAATAGATAGAAGATAATGTAAGACGGTCTATGTATGCTCCTAGGTCCGGGAACCCAGACGAGTAAGATGTCTATTAACGTACACTTTAAGTTTCTCTCTAATTTCGAAATTGTTGTTGGTAATGCCAATACCAGAAGAGTTTTTCTTTATTACTTGTCTGATAAAATGTATGCATTTTTTACTCCTTCACGTTTTTTTTTTGTTGAAGACCTTGCCATCCTCTTAAATTCCCCACACTTCCGCTTGGAAAGTGCTAGCAAAGGTACACAGTCGTAACGAGACATTTCATAGAATTCTCCCACACCCACACCGCAGTCCATTTTATACCTCTCCGCATAGATGAGAACCGCATTCTGTTTGATTGATCTGCTTCTACTTCAGTCCCGCCTAAAAGGAAACTTCACCTGAAAGTTTTTTCTGGAATCTGGTGAAGGAGATGTACATATAATCTGATTTTTCCCCCCAAATCTGAGAGCTTTCAATAACTCCACTATGCCTGTATTGCCTCGGACACTAAAAGCCTTACTCTTTGAATCAGATTGCAGAGTTCACTGGAATTTCGCGCTTGTGGAATTCTATGGGCAGTTGATACAGAATAACATTAGGCAATTCAGTAGGACACGCCTTGTTTGCTTCTTAATTTCTTGAAGTTGATTTGCGTGTCCTATGCTGGCCACCATCCTGTCGTTAGAGCTTTGAAGACAGATTGGCCGACTGAAATCTTTGTTTTGGCGGGTTATGAGAACAGGATTTTGGTCATAGTGATCTCATTTGTCTTTAAGATTTCAAGATGTCTGACAAGGTTTCCTTGTTTGTATGTATGGTTGCTTCCTCTTATATTGCCATATGAAGGTGTATGAGATTGCGTAGGGCTTCTATATCTGCGATGGGTTGTTTTCATTACCCCTCTTACATCTAGGCATGCAAGTCGTTGGACCTTGCACAGTTTTTAATGGCTACTGTTTGAGTGGTCTTCCTCCACCATACGAGGGCTCGTTTCACACTTAGGGGTTGATCATCTGAGGATACACACAGAACGTAATTTTAGGATTCAGCTTTTCTAATAAGCAAATTGATGTTAATGCAGAGGATAATGAGGGAGTATCCCCACATAAGTCAGAATAATTCTTTTCCTCTAGGCACTCAACTAAAAATCCCAATAGTAATTGAAACCATATAAAACTTTTGTTTTAGGATTCTGTATAAGCAATATGTGAAAAATCTTCTCCACTTCTTTTGCCTATAATAGTTTGTTCAATTTATTTTCTCGTCTCTGATCTGTAGGCAGCTTTGTAGGTCGATGAATCCTTTCATGCTGGTAACTTTTTACAAACTAATATATTTCGGATCGTAGCGAAAGAGGAGTTTTTGGCTTGTGGGCTTTATCTTCCAACAGTCTGTCCAAAACAAGTTCCTAGCAATTTTTGGTCTTGTTCCGCTTCTTTGGTGGCTTGCACGCAAATGGCCGAGATATCGAGGAATCCGGATGCCTGTTTTGGCGCGACACTCGCTAACCGGAGTAAATGAGAATACTTGGCAACGCAGTCTCTCTCCGACACCAAACTTTACATGGCAGGTGTAGTAGTCTCAGCAAGGTCCTTTGGTCTGCTTACTGTGCTCTATTTATCCCATCTCTTGATTGGCGGTGATATCTGCCTTTTTTCTCACGGAGACATTAATCAGCCGGGCATGGCCACCTTCCCATTAAGTACGCCCCTCAAATCGTATTCCTTAAAATGGAGGAGGAAAGTTATAGCTACTTTCAAAAGACTAATGACATTATACCTTAAGTGTTTCTTAGCGGTTATAATACTTCATTAAAATAATCTGACTTAGTTTTTTATAAGGTAAGCGGTACGAGTAAAAAATAAATAAATTGTACTTTTTGTTTACAGGCAGTAAGTCTGGTGAATACGAGGAGGTGCGAGAGCGGCCTTTCACCAAATTATTGAGCAACGGTTCGCTGCTACTGCAACACGTTAAAGAGGATCGTGAAGGCTTCTACCTTTGTCAAGCGAACAATGGCATTGGAACTGGCATCGGAAAAGTTATACAGCTAAAAGTAAATTGTAAGTGCAAAGTTGCGTAAGCACAGAATAGAGCTTTATTATGCCTATCCATTTCGTAAGCTATCAATGTAGGTAAATTTTCGCAAATTCACAAAGCACCTATAGGCATTAATTAAATGCGCCATAGCTATATATATATATATAGATTCTCTTGTGTGTTTATGCTTATTTGAAGCATTATATTTCATCGCAATACCAACAACTCTGCTGTGTTAAACTTTTAGCATTTTCCAACAACACTCTTTACGTATTCGACATTATTTATACTTTCATGTGTTTCTCCTTTGCATTTTTAATGATACAGCTTCGCCGTACTTTTCATCCACTTCACGCTCGGTAACGGTGAAAAAAGGTGACACAGCGCTTTTGCAATGCTCTGTCAGCGGTGACAAACCGATTAATATCGTTTGGATGCGTTCGGGCAAAAATACGTTGAATCCATCAACAAATTACAAGTAGGTCAAGAGGGACACACGCTGTCACTGCTGTTAACTAAGTATTCCACCTACCATCAAATCATCGTCTCCTTAAACCTACATACATATCTCCTCTCAACCTCCCGCCCCCCACTCCTCCTTCTTCGTCTTCCTCATAGCGTTCATTAATCTTACCCCATCATCCTGTCAACATTAATTTTATCAGCACTTATTTAGTATCCCGCATATTTCCCACAGGAGCATTAATGCCACCTACATAGAAGTGATGAGTCGAATTTTTTTCGCTACATTTCCCATTTGTGTCGTTGCAGAATTTCGGTGAAGCAAGAGGCCACACCTGATGGTGTTTCTGCCGAATTGCAAATACGCATGGTGGATGCCAGCGATAGTGGCCCGTACTTTTGTCGTGCGAGCAATCTCTATGGCAATGATCAGCAATTGGTGCAGCTGCAGGTGCAGGAGCCACCACAACCGCCCACCGTTTTGGAGGCGGCTATGATTTCTAGTCGTTCGGTGAATTTGAAATGGCAACCGAAAACAATGAACACAGCGGATATCTCAAAATACATTGTGGAATTCAAGGAAATGGACCGTAAGTAGCTGAAAAAAAATATTATTAAAATAGATAAGTACTTAGTAAAAATAAAAGAAAAGAGAAAGGGGGAAGAAAACAAAATGTAAACTAAGTTGTTGATAAGCGCTGCGCATTAACACATAATTAGGAATAAATAGCATTGACAGATAAAATTGTCAGACCTTGACATTAAAATCGAAGAAACTTTTGATGAAAAATTCATTTCATAGGGGTATCATAGGTGTAAAATAACAGCCTGGTATTAACTATAATTAAAACGTGCTTTAACAGCGGAAAACTTCAAGTAGGGGTAATCGCTTTTAGATTTTCCAAGCAATTAATATAATTTTGCTGCAAAACTCCGCACACACCGAGAAAAATATTTTTTATTAAATATTACCAAAATTTGATTATGAATATACTCAAAAAAGAGATTTCGTAAAAGTAAGGAAGCTACATACAAGTTTACGTAAAAATAGGGAACAATACTGCACTAAAGCCAAATTGTCTTAAGCCAAATAATTTGATGTATTAAGTTTAGTAGCTTATATATTTTTATACCCGAGCGCTATTATAACTTTGTTCACATAACGGTTGTTTGTAACAGGCAAAACGAATCGAGATAGATATAGACAAATGTACACATAAATGATCAGGATGAAAAGAGAAATCGAGTAAGCGGTGACTGTCTGTCCGTCCACCGCCCACTTATGATCACATAGTATATGTATCTCGGTAACCGTTCTACCAATTTGTTATTTTAGTAAACTAAATCTTATTTTTGTTATTATTTATATTAGCTTAATTTAGTAAATAAACAATTAAAAACATTATTATTTGTTATATCTTATTTATTTATACATCTTTACGCCTATTTTGTATGTGATTACCCGGGTACCCCGGTTGGACTATTCGTATTCAGTTTCTTAAATTCAAAATTTTCTGGATTGAAAAGAAATATAAAATATTTTAAAATATTATTATAAAATATTTTTTATTCTAAGTTTTTTTTTGTTTACTTAAATTTACGATTTTTTTATTTAACTAACTAAATATGTGTAATAATTATAGCTACTTCTCTCTTGACTTTATAACTGTACTATTCATTTATATTCTCTTCTATACCTTTTAAATTAAATAGGTAGGCATATATGGAAAAGTATATATTTATGTACATATAATATTATCCGCTGGGTAGCGCTGGAGTGCAGTTATACATATAAAATAATATTTATTGCATAAAGCCGGTTAGTTGCTTAAGAAAATTCCTTCAGAAGCAATGAAAAATGAATAGAATCCAAAGAGATGAGTGGGTATCAAAATGAGGCTTCACTGATTCGAAAGCCAGATATATATATAAAACAAAAACAAATTCGGAAAAGCGCCTACATTAGCTATCTAAATTATCGTCAAATATTTCTATATATGCAGTTGCAGCGTGCAGAGTCTGGGGGTTATTAGCCTAGTTTCAATACTAATAAAAATTTATATTCTTTAAAAATGTAAAAACCCAATTTGAATTATTCTAACGCGTATCGCTAACTCTCCTCCTTCCTACCTACTTCACATCATACAGCACTCTTCATCGAGCAGTGGCAACAAGTAGAGGTCAAAGATCCACCAACGTACACAACGTTAATTGAAAATCTTAAGCCAGCAACACGTTATTCCTTTCGCGTAATAGCCGAAGGCACTGCCGGCCGCAGCGCACCGAGTCAAGAGTTAGTGGTGCGCACCGAACCACAACGTCCCGCCGGACCGCCGCTCAATCTCTCAGTACGTCCATTGTCTTCCACCGAGTTACTAGTCAGCTGGTTGGCGCCGCTCGTAGAATTGCGTCACGGCGACATACAAGGCTACAATGTTGGCTACAAATTGGCCAGCTCGGGCAACTCGGCATACAATTTTACCTCAGTGTCCGGTGATGGCGATGGTGGCACCGGCGAACTCTTGCTAAGCGGCTTACAGAGATTCGCGCGTTACAATGTTGTTGCGCAGGCCTTCAATCAGGTGGGACCCGGTCCACTCTCTGAGCCGGTGTCGGCGCAAACAATGGAAGACGGTGAGTTGGCTACTTTGGCGAAATATTATTTGTTAATCTAGTTAATATTTAGTCAGTTTATTGCCTTTTATTAAATAAATTTATTTTCAATTATTTCGTGACAGTGCCAAGCCGGCCGCCGGAGGATATACGTTGCGCCGCATTGACCTCACAATCGCTGCAAGTTTCGTGGCAGCCGCCGCCAATCTACCATACCAATGGTCTCTTGCAGGGTTACAAATTAATTTTCGAGCCTATTCTGGACGACTTTTCCCTCAACAAAGACGAAGTTGAATCACGCAAGACAACTGCTCTAACCACAGTGCTGACGGGATTACGCAAGTACACCAACTACAGCATACAAGTGCTGGCACACACACGCATGGGTGATGGCGCACTATCCAACCCACTCTACTGTCACACCGAGGAGGATGCGCCCGAAGCGCCGGCTGACATCAAAGTGGTCGTTAGCTCACCGCAATCTTTGTCTGTCTCATGGTTGCCACCTACGGAACCGAATGGGGTCATCACAAAATATAATCTATATACGCGCGTCGTAAACGGGCGAGAAGAGCTAAATAATGAAAAACGTAGTTTGCCGTCACAGCAGGCGCATTACGAGGCGAAAAATCTGCATCCTCACATGGAGTACCAGTACTGGGTGACCGCCTCCACGCGTGTTGGTGAAGGCAAAAGCTCGCGTGTCGCCTCACAGATTACAACCAATCGTGTGCCCGCACGCATTGTCTCCTTCGGTGGTCCGATAGTGCGGCCATGGCGCTCAACTGTTACGTTGCCGTGCACGGCAGTTGGCAAACCGAAACGTGAATGGTACAAGGCGGATTCACTGCTGCGTCAAGGCGGCCTACACAATTCTCAGCTACTTGATTCAGGCGACTTGATTATCTCGAGTTTACAGATTTCGGATAGTGGCAACTACAGTTGTCAGGTGGACAACGGCATTGGCACGGATCGGCTGACACACGTACTATTGGTGCAAGTGCCACCTTCGGCGCCGGTGCTGTATGTGACTAGCGCTACTTCGAGCAGTATTCTGATGCACTGGAAATGCGGATTCACTGGTAATGCACCAATCACTGGCTATACGCTCTTCTATCGACGCGCTAACAGTAATATGGATGAGATGCTTTTGTCACGTCATGCATCTAGTCACGAACTGAAGGGGCTAGTGTGTGGTAGCACTTATCAAATTCATTTGACGGCTCACAATAAGGTGGGCACCTCACCGGCCAGCATCACTTTGCATGTGCGCACGCAAGGGCAATCACCCGGAATGCCGTCAACCACCAGCCTGATTGCACCCAACTCTACTACAGTATTGGTGCGTTTGCACACATGGCCAGACAATGGTTGTCCGATGCTTTACTTTGTCCTGCAATACCGGCCGGTGACCGATGAGCCCGAGCGCGATTGGATATTGGGTAAGTAGAAGATTGTGTGCAGCCAAAAAAGAAGTTTTCTTTTTCAATTCGGTATTCAAGCACAAAAATTCAATGGAATTTATTAAAAGAAATATCCTTTAAGGCTAGTGCGGTGACATATGAAATTATGTGTTATTAATTACATTTTAGGTATTATTAAATTTCAGCTATTCATCTCATAAACATAAATTTAATGCAGTCACAAATACATACAGTTGTAGTGATATATACATATGCATACATATTTACACATTTATTAGGGTAAACCTTAAAAATATCAGCATCAAAATTATATATGTGGCACCCCTTTATTTTATTGACGGCTATCGACCATTTAAGTAGCTCGGGACCAGCGATGTGATGATGCCACTTGTTTCTCTCGTTTGCCAAATTACGCCAGCACTTGCAGATAGACCCTTTTGCTCTAGATCGTTCCTTCGTAATCAATGCGCCATTAGGTTAGGTAAGGTTACCATGGCTGCCCCATCTAAAGTTGGAAGGAAGCACCGCCGCCATGGACCCAATATGATACTGTGTATTTTCCTTGAGCTGAAGCAAGGTCCCTCAAGTCGAGAGACCGCGATATAACTTATCTATCTAATTTAGGGAATAAGTGCCGCGCTATCGTACATACAAGTGGGTTCAACAGACCACCCTTTATTTGCCTGTTCGGTAAATATTTTTTCCAGCAAGAATTTGCAAGCGATAGCGCGATACCCTCACTGAGAGCATTCTGATTGCAGATAAGGGGGTCACCTTGCTCGCCAGTTCATCTGCCAGTCAGTTAGCTAATATATCATTGTGGTCTGGTACCCAAAATGTTTTCAGGGCCTTAATTGGCGTTGAGGATAGGGCCTCTGTGATCCTAATGCACGCCACCCCTTGAATTTTGGTTAGCTTATTCCCTATTTTAGAAATATCCAGAGAAGGCCACTAGGCCGCAATACCGTATGTACATCTGTTGAATAATTTGAGGCTTCAAGCCTCATTTTTTCTTACATTTGATTTTCAGGTGTATAGTTCACTAATTTCCTTCCTAGTGCATTCATCCATATTGCGCCGCCGGGTTATCTTTCTGTTCAGAATGACGGCCAGTTTTTTGGCTTCCTCCAAAAGGGTCAGCGTGACATTACTAAGCCGCAGCTGGGCAATTTTTTTTTTTTTTATGAGGAACCATGATCTTTTTTGCCGGGTTGGCAGTAAAGCCAGTTTTCCTCGCCCACGTCTCTACTACGCTCAAAGCGCTATGTGCTAAAGCGCATTACTGTCAGTCAACTGTCCGCTTCGATAGCTCGGATGTTGTGCGCCTTTCTGTTGCCATACCCACCCCATCCTGGGCAAATGGAGCTTCGTGCCTATACATTGATCAGTGTTTATTTTTTCATCAAACGCGCCACCGGTTCCACCATTAAAACTTGTTTAGAAGTCTACTCTGATCTCGACTACCATCTTTGACTATGCAGGAACCACCTCAGATCTTGAAATTATTTGATTTCTGACGAACTTTTTAAAAGTTTTTTTCCTCTTCTCTTATCTTCTCTCGTTATCGCGCGATTGTCGGGCGAGTCGTTATTGGCTGTCTTGCTGGCATAATATGCTGCGTATCTCTTTATAGCAGCGGCCCAATACTCTTCGTCATACCAGCTACTTCTACGTGGATGCTAGTAATTAACGGCCTAGGACGCAGCGGGACGAAGTAAATAAGAGTCAGAAACCCACCAAGGAGAACTTAGAATCGAGATTTTAATAACTAGACAGTCTGTAAGATATATATAGATAGATCATTTGATGATCTATTGTGCCCTCCGCTCTTCACAATACTTCCTCCAAGCCTAGATCCGTTAGAAAGTTCCATAGCGTTTTCGGGGATAGAGCGTGAATGTGCTTAAGCATCACACTCGATAAGGATGTAGAGTGGTGTTTCGCTGGAAGAGGCGCAAAATCGGACCATATCCCCAGCTTATAAATATTCCCACTTAGTCTGCAGTGTCCTGTAGGTAAACCTGTTAATATTCTCAACTTCCGCTTTGGAAGGTTAAGTAAACTTTGGCATCTTCTTTTGTTACACCCTTCCAGTAGACGCTTTGTCTGACGCATTCCTATCAAACTATGCCAGTTTAAATCCCTCAAATTGTTCCTCTCTGTCCTGAGCTCCTCCTTTATAGTATTGGGACCTACTTCCAGGAAGGGCTCGGGGCCAACTGGAGTGATGGCTCCCGCCTCTCTTGCGAGACAGTTTTCCGCATCGTTCCCTTACTGCCAGGCACCCACGCCAGTCTGATGTTATTCTGCCTCTCTATGCACTCAAGGACCAGGTATAATTTGATTTCAAAAGATAAAAGATCCTTGAGTGCCGCGTGACTGTCACTTAGAATTATAATTCTCTCATTTCGGTATCTTCTATTAATGATGGTCTCCACACACAAATATATGGCGTAGACTTCTGCCTGAAATATGCTCATTCCCCTTAGGGATGGAGATCCTGGTCCTGGGTCAAAGATTCCAGCACCTATTTATTCTTGGGTCTTCGAGCCGTCTGTGTACCAATGCAGTGTAGACGGTCTATTACGCCCACATCTTTTCGACGTCAAACTTTCGCCGCGCTGCTTGGGGCATGTTCTTCAAAAGTTAAATTTCCCCCCATTTAAAGATCGATAAGTAAAATCAGAGCATTTTCACATCAATTAGAACACACATAATGCAATTTAGTACCAACTTACTGAAATTGAGAAGCTTAATATAGTACCATTGCCTTTGTTTTTGCTCTCTTTATTCCATTTTACAGTATCGAACGCTTTAAAACCGCAGCGTCGTTTCACCATTTCCGGACTACAGCCATCGACTCTTTATCAGCTGCGCATGGAGGCACATAATGTGGCCGGTGTTTCGCAGGCCGAATTCACATTTGTCACTCTCACCAAGGATGGAGAGCAGCCACCGCCGGAGATAGTGCAGCGCGGTCAACGTGGCACCAACGTTTTCTATGGAAATGTGAATCTATTGATACCGAGCATTGCCACATTGTCGGGCATGATTTGCACAATAGCGCTGGTGGTCATGTGCTATCGACATAGTGAGTACCAAATACACAGACAATTGTACATGTAAACTGCCAGTGGGGTTGGGACGGACAAGACGGAAACGACCGGCCGGTGTCATGTGAATGTAAATGGCTGAGTGGGTCATCATTCTTTGGCACTAACAAAACAAAACAAAAGCAAAACCAACGCAAAACAAACACAATACTACCAGCATTCACAAACAAACAAACAAACCAACAAGCGTACAAACAAAACGGAAAACGTGTGAATGAACTACCGAACTCTGTACGGTTGTTTCTTTGCTGAAGAGTAGGTGGTGGGCGCTGAACAAAAATGGGAGCCCGACGACAATCGTTTGAACAGACAAAACGACTAACTAACTGAATAACCAAACAAATCAATGAACGTAAACGCAAACGTAAATGCCTACAAACATGCCAACACATAAGTGTACATACAAAACTGCTGCAGTTGTACTGCAGGATGAACAGGATGAAGGATACGCATATGCACGTTGGCGGTGGTGCACAGTCGCATGCATGTACGTATTTATGTGGGCCACAATGTCTCACAGCATACATTGAACGTGTATACATACGTCGAGAAAATAAATTTTACGTTGTTACAACAAATTGAATTTTAATTGGCATGACGCCGACCAAATGCTGTGCAGTAAATAACGCAAAGCTTTTACTTTTTGTTGGTGTTAGTCGTGTTATTGCTGCTATTATATTTGATTTTGTTATGTTTTGAATTCCACATGGCGCATTGAATTTACTTCTCTTCCGCCTACATATGTACATATGTACATACATATGCATTCTCTCTCTAACAACAAAATCTATACTCGAACTGCTGCTAAAATTTTCTTTTGATTGTTTTTCGTATAGAACAAGGAAATCGTATACAAAAGGAATCGCTGGAGAATCGTCAGAACTCGGAGGCAGCGCAGCGGGAACGCTATTATGCCACCATTCACAAAGTGTCGATGCAGAATAACGACAAAATTCCTGGTAAGTTATTACTATTGGTTATGTGTTGTTTTTGTTGTTGTTGTTGTGTTCAGTGCGACTTCAGAATGGCCGAAAAGAATGGAAATGGAAATAGCTTGCGGAAAGTGAGTTTTTATATGTACATACTAGGGCATTCAATCCCGGGATTCCGGACACTTTTCCATGTCCCGAAATTCCGGGATTAAAGCTCCAGGATCCCGATATTTTTACTGATTCATTTCAGAAGGTCCATTCTTTTGCAACCGAGCTACAAAAGAACACTCGCTTAATTGACGAAATACACAACACAAACTCGGCTATTTATCTGAGTTGAGCGTTCTTTTTTCGCTCGCTTACCAAAATATGCAGGCAGAATAAAATAAATGTTGAAAACGAAAAAAAATAATAATTTGACATGAAACACGAGAAATACAGAATACCAAAATTTGGATTAAAAGTGAACTTGAGCCATTTGCACTTGGAATTGAATTTCAGGACTTGCCTGAATAACTGTACTTGTTCAAATATTTTGTGCAAGAACTGTGTAATAACGCAAACTATTTTACAGTGGGGCAGAGTTGTTCTTCATTTTACTGTCTTGGCCTTTTTTGGAAAAGGATTTCTGAAAATATGAGTAAATGTTTTCGACAAGTAGCATAGATATTTTAGAATAAAAATATTTAAACATCAAATTACGTACTCTTTTACTAAGGGGCATTATGCTCCCCTAGATCATATCGTCGATCCCTACGAAGAGTAGCACATTTCACTATTCGCATAGAAGACTAGCACATTTCATCACTAGCATGGAAGACTAGCACATTTCGTCACTAGATACGAATAAAGGCGCGCTAGCGTTTCGACGGCGAAAAAAGACGCATACAAAAATTTTACGAAAAAAAGGCGCTTAAGAAAAACTTTGGTGAAGAAAGACGCCTATTCTATTACTTGGCGAAGGACTGTCACTTCAGCACTATTCCCCAAAAACTATTAACGGAATGTAGATACTATTACACCCGCAAACATAGTTGACCGCGAAAATAAGTTTACGTGTCCTTGGCCGTCAAATATTTAAACGCGTCTTTCTTCGCTGTCAACTATGTTAAGAGTCTTTCTTCGCTGAAGTTTTTTATGCGCCTCTTTTCGCTGTCAACTTTTGAGCTTTTGAGAAAAGTAGCACATTTCTGATTTTTTCGTGGAAAAGTAGCAGATTTCACTATTTGCGTGGAAGAGTAACACATTTCAAGTTTTCGCGTGGAAGACTAGCACATTTCAGGGTTTCGCGCGGAAGAGTAGCACATTTCATTATTTGCGTGGAAGAGTAGCACATTTAAGCTTTAAAGTAAATTATAAAAGTATAATTTATATTGAAAATTCAAGTGCTTTTATTATATTTCTATAATTATATTATACAATTTATGAAATTTAGACGGTATATTGCGTTTAGTGATCATTTGCTGAAAATATTTCAATTAAATTAAAGTTCATTTAAAAAAACCTTGTAAGTCCACGCTTAAGTCTTTTGTAGAAATCTAAAAAAAAAAAATTCAACTAATTATCATACAAATTTCCAACTTATTTACTCACAAGTGTAACAATTTTTTTGAGTATGAAGCTTTATAGCCCATTCAATATAAGTATGATAATGTGCAAGTTTCAAGAGTCTTAAAATTACCTTTGACTCTTTTTGTCGCATTTGCTCCCATATAACGAATAAACACAATTTATTTTTATATGGAAGAAAACCGCAACAACGGAAATTTTTAGCCACTTGAAACTTGCATATTACCGCAGTAAAGTTGAAAGGGCTTTAAAACTATATACTCAAAGAATTCTGAGAAAATAAGTTTGAAATTCGGATGAAAATTTTTAGATTTGTTTTTTTTAGTTTTCTACAAAGTTTTACACTTGGGTTTATATGGATTTTTTCAGAGAATGAACTTTATTCTAATGAAAATTCTTAAAAATAAATAAATAAGCATAAGCGGAAAACAATATCACTTTGAAATGAGGTGCTCTTCATATAACTGCATGTACATATGTGTATGTTTCTCGTGTTTATAAATAGATTCCTTGAGGAAGACGCGAATATGGGTCGAAACAAGTAGGAGGAAAATAAACTTTTATTTTATTTGTAATAAACGACCGAAAAGTTCCATACAGAACATTAAACTTTCAGCTTAGTCGAGGAGAAATAATAATAACATACTACTTGTATGCTTGGTTTTTGTACGGCTGCTAGTACATACCACTTTATATGAATTCGCTACTCTTCCACGCGAGAATCTGAAATGGGCTACTTTTCGACGCGAATAATGTAATGTGTCAGTCTTCGGACCGAACAGTGAAACGTGCTAGTCTTCCACGGTAATTTGAGATGTGCTACTCTTCGTTGGGAACGAAGTCCCGGGATTGTTAAAATGCTTCGGGATTATATGCCCCAGTACATTCCATTGAAGGTGCAATTTATTTGGTAGTAATCTCTTTCTTTTCTGAGCGAAAGACGCTCTTATGCGATGGAAAATACTTTGCTTGGTTATGAAGTCACAGTTGGACTTCCGTCAGCGTTTAATTTACCACCGAGCACTCTATTTTACAAACAAATTTATATGCAAACGCTAAATATATACACATGTGGTATCTAAAAGGCGTAAAAATCATCAACTAATGGTGATTCATTTTATTTTCGGGCGGAAGTTCAGTGCGCTATTGTGGGTGGCACTATAAATCAATGGGGGTATTCACCAAATTGAGGAAGTGACCTGGCACTCGAACAAAAGAGGTGATCAGCTCAAACCAACGAATGTTGTCAAAGGTGTTGCTTGAGATAATCAGCTCTTCTTCCCAAGAGCCTGGTCAGCTGCTCAATTTAGTGAATACCCTTCATACAACAATTCTGCTGGAATCCGAGGCAGTTTGACCTAAGTGATAATATTTTTAGCCTTCGGTAGAGACATCACTTCCGTTTGACGTTGTGCTGAAATATTGGTGTCCTTCAAAAGCGTGTTAAAAACTTTTAATTCCACAAATATTTAATGAGTTAAAGGAATTATTACAATATGAGTATCATTCGAAATTAGTTTTAAAAGGCTTTATTTCCGAATTATATTTATATGTGTTGCCACATGTTTAAAAGGTCAAATTCAACTTGAGTTGTGGCAATTTGATAATTGAAATATGTATTGGAATATGGATCTCAGACGAAAGAGATTTAAGAAGGTTTTAGTTTGAAAAAAATGGTTGCCACCTGCGTGAAAAGTTGAAATTATCACAAGTTAAATACAATATTAAAAGATAAGAGTCAAGGGAAAAAGTGTGAAGATAGATTTCTAGGACTGCCGGCGAGCAGGCAAGAGAAGTCTCATCATTTGTCTATTTAAGTATCAGTTCGCTCACAGGGTTCATAACCAGCTGCGCGCGCTATGTAACGTTATCGGTTTAATGCAAGATTATTTTATATATAAATACATATTAACGAGGGAGGTATATTTTAACTTTTAAAGTACAAGATAATCTACGGACATGTAAACCTAGTATAATATGGACAAACAAGGTCAAACATTCTTTTTTTCGGGTATCCAGGCAGCGATTGAGCTTTAGGCTCCGTAAATATCATTTCTAGCCCAATAAAACAATGTAGAGAAAAAGTTATGGGTTTAGCTGGTAGGTATATCGTTGCACTGATATGTGTGCAGGGGCAATCATGACAACCTTGATTTTTAGGGTTAGCGACTTATTATAAGGATGCAAAAGATTCTCCAGGTTGCGGTGTGCCCTATGAATTAACTAGCTACATATAAGCCAACCAATATAAAATTATAAATTATTAAACCAAATGGGAGCATGAATACGAATTTTCTAAATCACTTGCGAAAATATTTCTTATGAACCAATTAACCCACGTTCAAAATTTAAACCAAACAAAAGAAACTTTTTAATAGGGGTTACCACCCGTTTAAATAGTTATATTAAAATTTACTAACAGGTTAAACGAAATTCTACCATTTGATTTGAAGCAACCGAAATTTAAAGAATCTTTTGAAAATGTCTGTAATAGGGTTGGCACCTATTTGAAAGTGGAATTAAAATTAATAAAAAGAAATATTAAAATATGGGTATCAACCTAAAGGCCGGGCCACATAGCACTTACGCGTTGGCTTTGGCGTTGGCGTTGGTTTCAGAACGCACGTTAAAAGTATGCTTGCTACAATGAACGCTTGGCAGCGAATGCTTGGGCCACTAAATTAACATACCAACGGCAGACAAATTAATATTTCATATCAATAATTGCATTAAAAACGATATTTCTTGCCCGCACTTGAATAAAATGGAAAAATATTTCACATATAGTCTGTTCCAATAGCAGTCCGGTTTACAGTAAGTACCTGTAAGTGGGAACACATTTGAGAGAGTAACTGAGCAACTGTTCCTAGTCAGAAGTTACAGGATTTAGTCCGGAGTTTCTTTTCCTGTAAGTTCATGAAAAGAGTCAAACGATCAGCTGATTTGCATGTGCAAGCAAAACCTACCAGCGGTGAAAGCAAAGTACCTTATATTTGTAAAAAAATGGAAGTAAACAACGAAATGTTTGAATATGTATAGATTTTAATAATTATTTAGAGATATTTCAGCTAAATCAGTGTTATACAAATGACATGTAAACAAACCGACTGACGTTTTTACAGGAAATAGTGCTTTTTGCGTTCCTATGCACTTCTGCATCTGTTCTCCTTTTACTCTCATTTGAGAGAGTAAAATTGTAGTTTGACAGTTCCACAGGTTTTAGTCCGAAGTTCAAAGGAACAGACTAATAGTTTTATTTATTTGCAACAGCTGGCGAGCGACGCATGCGAAAAGTTGAGATTTGGCCATCTTTTTGCTTTGTGTTGGCGTGAGCATTGTCGAATTTTGGCTAAGTGGACGGCTGCATTTGAATTCATGTATTCATAGTCAGCTGTTGAAGCGACGCCAACGCCAACGCAACGCCAAAGTTCTATGTGGACGGGCCTTAAGAGGATATATTTCGAAGATATTTTCGAAACTGTTCGCCACTCGTTAAAAGCCAAATTCAATTTAACCAATAACTGAAATGAGTTATTGCAATACGGATGTGAAACGAAAGAAATTTTCGAAAGTATTTTTTAAAAGGGTTGCCACCTATTTAATTTAAATCTTACCAATAAGTTAAAGGAAATAATGTCTACAATGTGGAAAAAGGCTTAAGAAAACTTTGTTTTTAAGATAGTTTTGAAACGGGTGCCACCTTTACAAGAAAGCCTTGCATCCAAGCGATTATTTTCAATCGAAATATCTTTCGTCTTCTCATCAAGTTATTTTGAAAGCATTGTATAAAGCATGGAGGAATTATACCAGGTGAAGTAATTAGAGCGAGGAGAAAGATTCTAACACTGTCTTATTACAAAATTTGCCTATAAAGTTTGACTATAAAGCTCGGAACACTTTGACGACTGCAACTTCACGACGTAACGACAGCGACATCATTTTGTCGACAAATGTCGCCTTGAAGCCAGCTTCTTAAACATTTTGAAGACCTCAGCGACATAGCAAATAGCTGATATTAAAGTTTTACATTTTGGTATATTTATTTCACAAATTGTGTATTTTTATTTAAGTAAATAAGAAAAACATGAACAATCAAGAATATGTGATTAATTTTGCGACAATTTAACTTTGCAGCACTACATCTACTCATTGTCGCCGGCAAAATTAGAAATAGATTTAATTTGGCGACGTCGACAATTGCAGTCCTGCAGCCAAGATGTCGTGCTGTCGTCAAAATAATTGTGTCCGTAAGAACGTGTGTATTTAAAATTTGACAGATGCTGCTTGTCGCTTGCCGTCGTCAAAGTGTTCCGAGCTTAAGGCAGCCGAATGTCGGAAAATAAAGCGAGAAAGCTGTTTTATTATTTCGCCTGTTTATTGCGCCATGTGTGTAAGATACTTTACACGTTTTCCAAATTTAAATTAATTTATGCTATTTCGAATGCCGATTTTGGTTTTTCAAAAATTTTCAAATTTAATTAAGCGCCTAATTCGGATAACGGCCAACTGTTGAAAAATTTAATTCGCATTTTTCTCAGGTGCTGATATCCTAAAACTGTTTTTATTTATGTGCTTCTTTTTAATCAAACTTTATAATTAAACAGAGGTTGAACTTTTTCATAGGTGGTAACCCTCTTCAAAAATATTTTAGAGATAAAGCTTCTCTGAATCTCTCTCATTTGATACCCTTGAACTTGTTAGTTAAATTGATGTTGAGTTTCCAAACATGTGGCAACCCGCTTCAAAAATATTTTCGAAAAAATCTGTTTTAACCCTTTCATTTACTTAATTGCCATTTAAGATATTTGATTTTATTTGCTAATGAAATTAATTTTGACCTTCAAAACAGGTGACAACCATCTTAAAAAATATTTTCAAAATAGAGCTTTCTTTCTCGTTTGCCATCCCCATTACCATATTTCATTTAACTTGTAATTTAAATTGATTTTAACATTTTAAGCAGATGGCAAACGTGCTTTTGTTCGACGCCGTAATTATTGTTATATTTTGCTTAGCCTATTAATTAATTGCATTTAACTTTTAAAAAAGGTGTCAAATCTAATTAAGAGTATCCTTTATGCTAACTCAGGTCACACCTTGTCTACGTGCTAAGCTTCATTCCAATCCATTCAGCCGATTTTGTCTGATTGAGTAACAAGTATCCTAATATCTAAACATACGAACTTTCACATTTATTATATTAGTAAAATTACCTCCCCGCCGGCCTTTGTGGTGTAGTGGTAAGCAGTACGCGCTTTCACTCATCAGCCCCTGGAATCAAGCCCTGGTTAAAGTAACATCCCAAAAAAATATAGAAAAAGGTTTTTTCTTAACAGTGGTTGTCCCTCGACAGGCAATGACAAACCTCCGAGTGGATTTCTGCCATGAAAAACAGCTTCTCATAAAAATACAATCGCCGTTCGGAGTCGGCGTAAAACGTAGGTCCCTCCGGAGGAGAAGCTCGGCCAAACACTAACATATGTGTAAGCGCCAATCTATTATTATTATTATTAAAATTACCTCCCGCTGAGAGGTGCATGTCCCCGTATTATGTACGTATGTATAGCAGATGTATATTGTCGCTTAAACAATATCTGAACAAAGCTATCTATATATGTACATAAGTTCATGCAAGTATGCATGTGCTCATGTTTAGCGTTCACCTTAGTTTAATATAAATATATGTTTATTCGTGTATACTTATTCCTGCCCTTGTCAAAGTGCAGTGACATTACTCACCGCTAATGCCAATTAAATAAATCACAGCGCCTCACCACCAACAATCACAACAACGCCCTCCCAACGTTTCAACAGCAAAGAAAGCAACGCAATGTCAAAGCCATTTCCATTTCCATTTCCATTCCAATTATTTACTAATTAGTGTCGTTTGCTGTTTGTTATAGGTGCCTCTTTATATATTACAGCTATGTGTGTGCCTATGTGTATGTATGTCATTGACTTTTTTTTCTCCTTCCTCTCTTTTTTTCTTCCTTCTACAAACAGAGACATCCGAGGATATTTCACCGTATGCCACATTTCAATTATCCGAGACGGGAAACATGTCACAGCCACATCATGCCGGTCCAGCTAATACGCTTTTGCATTCCTTTATGTATCACGAGCGTGCCTTGACCGAGGGTTGCTCGTCACCACCACCCGCAGCGGTATTAAAACCAACCCAACACCAAAATCACCACCATCACCTGAATTATCATTACAACCACAATCAACGTCCAACTAAGACAAACTATAATCATTATCAGACCTCGCCATTTCATAATATCGTGCGTTTAATTTCTTATCTGTTTTTATTTAGATTTTGTTTGTAATTTGTGTTGTTGTTGTTTGAAATCATAAATGCTTTTAAATATCTAGAGTGCTAGAAAAGAATTGACTTAGTCCGTTTTTTTTTTTAATTTTCGTAAGGCGCATAATTGTAGTCGAAAGAAAGTTGATTTATTGGTAGGCAAAGAAGCGTTTTTGTCAGGGAAGTCTATTACGCACTAGCGCAAGTTACGTCTTCCGCTAAATACTTTGATAACATTGTGGTATACTGAAACTGTCTTATTCGTTAGTGAAGTTAATAAATGTTGGTTGCGCAGTGATGCGCAGAGAGAGCTTTTACTCTGAACTAGGGTTGCCAATTATACTATTTATCCGGACTGCGTACTATATACTGATGGAAAAAAATATAATATGCCGAAATATTATATTTCTTTATTTATAAATATTAATAAATTTCTGTAATCTGTAAGAAGGAATGTATATTAAAATGGATGAGCTTTTACCTGAAGTAAAAATATTGAGAAAAAAAATAAATCTTTAATATAAAAGGTCATACTTAGTTTATTTATAGAACCACAGATCAAAAATTTCAACATTAAAAAAAGAATCAGTTACCAAATTTACTTAAAATTATTTCGTTCCTGCTCTCTATTCCTGCAACTTCGGCATTCACAGAAAGAGTTTTTTCTATTATGAATGTCAAATGGCGAGATGAGAGAAACCTAGCGACTATCTCACTAATAAAAATGAACTTTTGATTTATATTAGTTTAAATATTGATTGCTAAGAAAGAAAAAAGGTGTACACTTAAAAACCATTTTATTTTTTTTCTTTTAAATATAATACCATATTTATTTGAAGTGTACTATATTTTTTCAGATTTTTTTTCAAAATGTACAATAACTTTCTTAGAAAATGTTGGCAACCCTACTTTGAACATGCCTATATGAAATGTAAAAAAGCTCTAAATTGCAGTTTAGGAGCAACATAATCATACGGATATCCTCCGTACAAAAACATTTATGAACAAAAGCATTTAATCAGCAATTATTATTTTTTTAATATATCAAACAATGTTCAGAAACCTTATTGTGCTATATGATGTAAGGCGACAAATAATGGGATTTTAATGTAAATAGGTTTATTCGTGAATTCAGTTAACTCCGGTTATGCGCCACTAACTTGTAGACGCGGTAGAGAACAGTTTTCTTGACTAAACGACTCTTAATAACCTCAATGGGGTTCTTAAAGTTCTGTTTGCTAAAGTTGTTAAAAGTAGCTTTTTCAGTAGCTGTTTACTTTCAGGGCCATCATAGCTTAATTAGTTTTAGCGCCGTTTTCTCGAACAGCTTTTAAAATTTGACTGTGTACCTTTAAACAAAAATTTTCTTCTAAAAATGTGTGTTTGTGTTTCAGATGTATTCTAAAAGCTACTTTAGAAAACGGACTTTAAATCTTCACATTTTTCTAATTTTCCTTAGTACCATTTTTTTTTTTTAAGTAAGTTTATGTAAACAAAGATATCGAATACTGAAATCATATAGTGTTGATATCACTTAAATACTAAGAAGCTCCTCCGCTCACTGCCTATACTTTAGTATAATAATTTAATTTTCCTCAACTTACTGCTTTCAACTATTAAGTATATTTGGCAAATTTTTATTATAATTTTTTTCTTTTTATTTTTTTTTCTTTGTAAGTTGCTAATCCTCCATCCTCGCTCGCTTCGCTCTCATACCATGCGTACCTGCTGGTTAAATTTTAATTGACTTTTACATTTTCTCGCTTTGTTTTCCATTTCACATGAATTCGCACGTGCTTGTTTGCTACTTGATGTTGTTTGCTATCCAATTAGTCTTCGAAGAATCGTCGCCGTCATTCGCGGAAAACTGAGCCAGAGAGTGAGGAGTCCGAATCGGATCAGGATCAATTGACGTCAAGTCGTACGGAGTCATCCAATCAGCATGAGGGAAAAATAAAGCATAGTAAGTTTTGTTGTTATGTTTTTTTTTTTGCATTTTATCTTAACAACTTTTTAATCCCGCTGGCACAAAAAATTTGTTGGCATGAGATTTTACACTACATCCACACATTTTTGATTTATATGTATACTATACACACTTTGTTTTTATAGATAAATAAATACATAAGTATGTACAGATGTAAGTATTTAATGAAATGTGATGAACTTGTTTAATGAAAATCTAAGCTGTAAAATACATAGTTCGAAACCAACAGTATTCTCATTACTACATACACAGATACCCGGGTCTTTAAAAAACACAGCTGGGCAACGTTTGCCCAGCAGCCGACTGTGCGTCATAGTCGCGTATACACGCACGCTCTGCTTGAGAAGGCAGCGAAAGCTTCATTCAACTGCACGACTTCCCAGTAGAAATCGCTATATGCTTGCTATATGAGTGAATTAGTGTGAACAATTCATGCGTAGTCATGAATTTCCACGAATAAATTCAAATTATAGCGAATTGCAAGCGAATATACGTTGTCGTTGTTTTAAGTACATTTCTTGATAAATTTGAAGTCAAATTTTTGCAATATTTTCAGTATTGTAAAAAAATGTTAGTGAACGGATATGTTGCGCGATACTATTTTCAGCACAAACGGGCTTTTACAAGTTATGCAATTGCATCTGTAAGTGATACTTGTTTGTATGTCCCCTTATATTAAAATGTCTGAGAAAAGTAGCATTTACACATGGGGATCTTGTAAGAATGCTTTATGCATTTTTGCATGTTTGAAACATTAATACAGCCATATGCATACAGCAGTAGTACAAGTGTATGATTAAGGTACGCATACGCTCTGAGAAACCACGCGTGTTAAATGGAAATGAAGGTTCATTTATACTGGCATGTATAAGCAACAGCAAGCTCATGCCGCCAACAGCGGTGTTGTATGCTTAAGATTTCTACTGGGTTGTTCGCACGCACAAAGTGATATCAATTGCACGCACACAATGCTCTGCTGAGGCTGCCCACCTCTGTTCTAAAACGATGTGACTTGTCAGCAGATCTACGCCTAGAATATTTCTCCTCTGTTCAGCGTAAGGATCTCCCGCGCTCTTTCCAAAAAAAGTAAAGTCGGAATTTTCAAGCTCTTACCCCCTAAGATTGCTCTATACCGAAAAAATTATAGCCATGTTTTTCTTTTTGAAATAAAGAAATATTTATTTAAATTCTCTAGTATTAAAAAATACTAAAACTAACAATTGGGTATTATTATTGGAAGTCTCCTGAAGAGAAACAGAGTCTTCCAAATTGCTTGTGAACAAATTGTGGAGCTTTAAGAGCACATGCCTGCCATAGAAAATATCAATTGTTTGAATGCTAATGCCCATATCCGTAAAAACAAGGGTGGTCCAAAATTAATGTGATAAAATTAAACTGGAAATCAATAAATATTTAGAGGTCGCTAAAATTTACGCATGCATTTTATATGGGGGAAAAATATTTTTCGTAGAAATGATATACCATCCTTGAGAATCAATATTTTGCAATCAGCACACTCTCTTTCTGCTCAGGAGACTTCAAGCAATAATAATTCCAAAAATTTTATTTTAACATTTTTTAATACTAACGATTTTTTATTGGCTTCTATTGCATTTTTTGGGGGTTTTTGGGTACCCAAAAAAAAATAGTTAATCTTAAAAAATAGTTAAAGAAACAATTGGCTATTATTTCTTGTAGTCTCCTAAAGAGAAACAGAGATTGAAAAATATAGATTTTGAAGAATTCTTAACCATTTCTACGAAAAGTTTTTACCTTCCCCCATATAAAATTCATGGAAACTTTGAGCGCTTTGAGCGAACTCTAAATTTTTTATGATTTAAAAAAAAAACAAGCGTATATTTTTTTCGATACAGAATATTTCTCAGGGGTAAGGGCATTAAAATTCCGCCTTAACTTTCCTTGGGCTCTAACACCCAACATCTTCCTGTATAGCTTGAAACACGAAGATATAAACTGGAAAGCGAATGGACATTTTTTTGTCCGGAGGCACGCCCTATACGACTTTATTATCCGATACGGATCCGCTAGTATATAACCGAATAGAGTCAACCGCTCTCGGAACTTTCTGGGTCCTTTGCTCTCTGCTAGAGACTTCTACTTCGAACACTTTTCGAACGTTTTTATTGGCGAGTGGTTATTTTTTCGTCAAGTGAAGGTGCTATGTACCACAAAAATTCTCTAGCTGGATCACTTTCGTGGTCTTACCGGGACAATTTTGTATTCGCATAACGTCTATCGGCAATACGTTTAGCAGCACGCTCATTGGTTTCGTGGGTGTAATTGCAGTCCGCCACTGATCCAAAGTAGAGTTGTTCTTTGCGTCTTTTGTGGTTGAAGGGTGTTTGGTTTCTTAGCAAAAATAACCCGCCTGACGTACACTCACTATAATAGTGTTGGGCTGCAGCGTTGCCATTTTAGCCGTTTCCGGCTAGATTTAGCCGGTTTTGATAGCAACTAGCCGGAGAAAATTCGATCTAGCCGGCAGCCGATTTGTTAGCCGGTTTGTAAAAAAAAGTTAGCCGTTTTTAGCCGATTTTACTATTTGCCTAATTTTCAGGTGCAAAATGTAAACAAGTTGTTCGAAAGCAATAATGCAGACCCAATGAAGATTTTTAATGAACTCAATGTTTTACTTTCGCTTCTATGCTCCCTAGTGGTTATTAGCGCGGACACATTTGATCCTATATGCTCCCCGTTGGAACCATACCTTGCTCCATTTCCTCAGTTTTATCACAGTTTTGAAGAGTATTTAAAAACAAAAGTAAGCACAAACGCTTTTGACCGCGAAGCCGAGAAAATAATTCGAGAAAATGGTCGCTATTTTATTATCACTTTAATAAAGGAATCACGCCAACGCCTTCCTACAAATATTGCCACACTAAAAAAATTGACTTTTTTCGGTTGGAAATGCATTAAGAGTAATTAAACCAAGAGTATTTGTTCAACAAAAACACAAATATAATGCCGACGAAATAACATCCATAGAGATGCAATGGCAACGGTTAACGTTACATACCTGGAGTAATTTAGACTCAACTGTAAAATTTTGGGCCGAAGTTTATCAATTTCGAAATGCCCTAGGAGAAAACCTTTTTGCTGACCTTTGCAACCTAGTTTTTAGTTTTCTTGTTTTGCCTATAAGTAATGCAGAAGTAGAGCGAATATTTAGTTCAATGAATATAATAAAAACTAAGCAAAGAAATCCAATGTGCGTTAAAACGTTAAACGCTATTTTATATATAAGATACGGTTTAAAACGTGAAGAAAAATGCTGCCATAATTTTACTGTAGATGACGATCTCTTAAAATTAATGAATTCAGGTGATATATACAATAGTGATTCATTTGATGATGAGGAATATACACTCGATATAAATTAATGGTGTTAACTAGTCTTTCGTTTCTTGCGATTTTTTTAAATAAAGCATGTGGATTTTCACTAAAACATTTTAGCCGTTTTTTGCCAGAGTCTATGTGAAATTTCACTAAAACATTTTAGCCGTTTTGAGCCGCTTTTTTTTTGCCAATTTAGCCGGTCGGCCCAAAAAGTTCTGGCAACACTGTTGGGCTGTTTCGATTGCACCTTTCCGCAATATGTTTGTGCATATGTAGCTTTGGCACAGTGTTTGTAGAAAATAGGCCAGGCTATCTTCTCATGGAAGAGAATTTCTTTTATTATGTTTAAAGTTCATAAAGTGCTGCTCCAAGGTTTTCCCCCTCGTATTTGTCCGCATGCCATCGCAACCCTGTAGGCATCCTGGGACTCTTTGGAAATCCGGATAGTACCTTACTTGACTCCGGCACGCATTTCACGTTGCTACGTTTCTTCGTGAGGTTCTTAACGCTTTTCTTAAGCTATTTTTATCGCTCGCTAGGATCTATTTGTAAGCTTTGTGTTTTTTTATAAATCTGTGTTCGTATGGAAAAGTAGCTTATGTCGAAAGGCTGGCTTTAGTATAAATCGGCATTCGCAGCATACGATTGCGAATGACTCACTGGCGGTGAGCTGTTGTAGAACTTTTGGCAAATAAACGTGCAAGAAGTAGTTCCGATACTAGCAAGTCAATATTCTTATTAAGTCTCATCAAAAAATTCCTTGCCGTTTAAAGAGTAAAGGGAATGCCGCATTATACTAAAGCCAGCCTTTCGACATAAGCTACTTTTCCATATGAACACAGAAATTTTTGAATCTTATTTTCTTAATTGTTTTCATTAAATTTTTAGATCTTCTTTTAAGGCTGTCTGCAATTTTAAAGAAAAACTAAAAATGGAGAATAAGAAATGGAAAAGAAATTCTCTCTATCAGAACTTCTTAAATCAGTGTGCAGCTTTTAAGAAAAAAATGCTCGTATATTTGTCGATGGTCCTGTGCAATAACGACACAATTCAAAATTCAAAAAACAGAAACTGTTACTACTGTTAAGTGGCTCATGCCTCCTCCTTACTTTTGTAATCCTTACTGCTTACCTTAGTAAGGCATGGAAATTGATTAGGACAAAAATTAGAGACAAGACCAACTTAAGTAGTAACAGTTTTTGTTTTTTGAATTTTGAATTGCGTCGTTATTGTACAGGACCATCGTTATTTCTTCAAGAAAACTTACAGCAACCGCAAAGTACTTTTCCTAGTAACAGAAATAATGAAACAATTTTCTTGTAAGTTTTCTTGAGAACTGCATACGGCCCTTTAAGAAGCAAAAAACATATATTTTTTGCGTTTCATTTTTTAGAACCTAATGTAAGAAATACATGAATTCTTTTTTAAATTATATTTTTAACCGACTTCACAAAAAGGAGGAGGTTATCAATTCGTCGCAATATATATATATATATATATATTTTATGTATGTTGCCGCATAACTTTGGACCACGTTTACCGATTTCAATAATTCTTTTTTTAGAGGAAAGATGCTACCGGACAGGTGGTTCCATATTAAGTTGGTTTAAATCCGATCGTCGTATGAAGAAACTAACGATAATCTGAAGTTTTGATATGAGAATTGAAGTCGGTTTCGTGTTTTGCTTAAAAATCAATTTAATTTAATTTTCCTTTTTATATTAAAAAAATTTAAACCTATTTAGTATTTGGCTTTGTTAGCCTAAGTGCCTCCATCGAAGCTCCCTCTTTTTCTGCCGTGACCCAAGGCTCTACTGGGATTGATTGCCGCATCTCGCATATTTCCAAAGCAAACAAACGAAATGAAATTGTCTGTTTCAAAACAAACGAAATCTAAAATTAAAATTTGCAAATAATACTTTTCATTTTACAAAACGAGTTCATCACAGTTCCTTACTTATACACAGCAGTTTCCTTTTGCAAACCACAATCACTTCCATGGTTCAATATTAAGAGACTTTCGATTTTCTTTGTAGTGTTATTCACCATAGATCATCACAGTTCGTAGTTGTACCTTCCCGAACCAATGTTGTACCTTATCCACAAAAAGTGTGTTGTAATTTCGAAAATTTAGAATTCACTTAACTGTAACAAAAAACTCTTTTGCTATTATTTGATTTGCGAAAAAATATATTTTCATATTTTCTGCATTCTCTTCACAGACTCTAAAAAAATGCAACATTTTCTAAATCACAACATATCGAAAACATATCTGTAGTACCAAATGCAGGCAAACGGCCTCATAGCAAAATACGTACAACAACTA